TGAATGTCTGGAAAACAGTATTTAAAATAAGATTTACCAATACTTCAAGATTTCTGACTTGTGCTTCTGTAACTCAAACTTCAGCTGAGGACAGAAGGATCAAAAAAAAATATTTTCAAATAAAAGCTTATGGATTATTATCTGTTTCATCTGTTTACATGCAGAGATGGATGCATACATAATTCCTTTAAAAGCCGAGAGAGGGTTGTATTTAATGCTGTCTTTAGCACCCAAAGGCGTTGGGAGTTGCTTGAAAATTGTTACAAGAACAGTGAACTAGTGAGAACTAGAGGGTGGTGATAGTTCTGGGAGGCAAGACCCTGGAGAGGCTTGAAGGCTGTACTGCTCCATGACTGCCACTGAGGTGAGTAGCAAGGGATGCTTGATCTGAGAACCTGCCTGTTAGAAGGGAGCTGAAATCTGGGCTTATGGGAACTCCAGAGTTCAGGGTTATGAAGAAATGAGAACCCATTTTGTGCCAGGCCCTTGGAAAGAGTTCTGGCCCTTTGGAGTAGGTAGCAGGATGACTGGTTGCTCTCTGCTGAGTTTGGGTGAAATGAGAAGAATATCTTGGTTGATGAAGACTGAGTCGAGTAGGCTCTGCCTTCTGCACAACTGTGTGAAGATGAGCAATGGCCCTGGGAAAGAAACTCTTAGATGTGAAACTCTGAGGTGAAAAGGAGAATTATTTTGGATTGTTTTATATATGTTTTTCTTATTTTTTCCTCATGTCACATAGTATGTTGAGTACAGACAAATAAGGGGTTAAGTATAACTCAAAGTTTCAGTAATATCCTATTTTTTGGTTATTCCTCCCTAGTGTTTACATATCTAAAGTGCATTAGTACTACTAGAAGTCAGATGTAGAACTGATGCCCTCAATATCACGACCCAACATTGGGCTTTTGTGTTAGAAAATACAGAGCTCTACGGTGACAACCACATTCCCCAGCCATGGGAAATGCTTTTCTAAATTTATCTGAATATAATCTTTTTGTTTCCTTCATTGCTTCTTTTTATGGCTGAACCTTACTGTATCTTTAACTCTAGGAATTCAAACTTTGAGTTGCCCTATTTTAAGTCTTTTCATGTGAGTTGGGCTCTTCTGTGGATGAAAGTAGAAGTTGGTCTTGAAAGGGATAGTGTATGTCTAGGCAGGGCAGGGACAGCTACTTGATGTTCAAGGGAAGTTGTGCTATACAGTTTTCCTGGGGTTTCTTTCTGATTAATATACTGTATAAATATATACATATATATACAGGGGTAACTGTGAAAATTGTATTGATCTGATGTTTCTAGTGCTTCATTCTGTTGTTCATACCCTTGTGTTCTGGATGGCTCTGGTCAATGACTCCCTTCTTTCATTGGCAAATTTTGTCCCATTAATAGAGCAGAAACCATACCTATAAGGTCTCAACCCTCTTTCAAGCATTGCCCACTTAAAATCATCCCCATTAAATCAGTTGCTTATGCTCCTAGGTCTACTTCAATGCCCTCTTCACAAATAGATTTTCTTTTCAATTATGTACTGTAGACCAAAAATTGATAGTTATTTGTAAAATACAGTGATTTTTAATATACAACTTGCTCAAGAGAATACATTTACACTGTGGGTTCTTCAAAGACTACACGTGATTACACAACATATATCTGTGTAAATCTTTTACCACTAGAATGCTCAATTTTACTTATATAACAGAGTAAAATATACCCACATGTGATCTATGTGTGTCAGCCTGGTGAGCATCTCTATAAACTATTTGTTGAGTAACTTCTGTTGTGGAAAATGAATTACTTTGCATCCCTTACACACTTCAGTACAACCTCTGGCTTTCATTTGTAATTACTTCACAATGAATACGCTCAAATTTTTTGCAAGTATATGGTAAAAGAAGAACTGTAAGCAGTTGAAAAAAACTGTATTTCCAGATGTAAAGCTTGAAGCAAGCTATGAAAATTGAGAGCAGCCTTAAGAAGAGGATATTATCCCTTGTTTACAGTTAACAATGCTGATACACAACTAGTGATTTGCCCAAGGTCACCCAAAAGATGGGAAAACCGCAGAAACTGAGTTTTGGACTTTTGTACTTCCAGCTTCTGTATGTGGTTGTGTGAATGTCCTTTTTCCTCTTTGTGAGGGTTTCTTATACCCAAGTGCTTATAGCCTTGAGAGGAATACAGTTTGCAACAGCTTAGCTGTCAGTATTTACCTTGGCTTTAAAAAAAAAACTTAGGAAATTTATTAATAAACAGTTGCACGGAGTTAGCAGTAAATACTAAACTGGAAAAATATTTGAAGTATGTTTGGTCACTACTAGAAGTCACAGAATGTTATCAACTTGTTCAGTTGTGTATCTTAAGGGGTTATGTAAATGTTTATGTGTAGGATATCTTTAGGTATCTGACAAAAATGTGTTATAAATGGATTATATCCATCCAAAGGGTGAATTTGTGCAAGTGTAGTACCCTTTAAAGTACTGGAGCTTTTAAAGGATGTGCTTCTACATTAGATCTACGGTCACTTTCTGTGTAAACCTTCAGGCTCGTTTTGTGGAAGGATGTGGGTTTTCTGTTTTATTTTTCCAGTCAATAGAAAACATACAGTTACTGACAAGCATGCCTGTAAATGTTCTACAGCCTATTCAGAAACATCCTGTAAGTGACTTCGCAGAGGAGCACTTGTTCTATCCAACAATATGGTCTCAGACTTTTGTCTGTTACTGAACTATTGTCTTATATATACATGGAAGCTACAGTGAAAACTAAGTATTGAGGGAAATGAATAATAGCTTTGTTCTTGCTTTGTGGATAAAGCGTGCTTTGCAAAAGTTCCCTCAAGCAACTTCTTACATGTGTCAAGTTCATGTTCTTAGTGGCTGAATCTGATTATTTCTGGCAAAGTGAAATGTTCAAGTTGGATGGTGATACTGAGAGCAGATCCTCTGTGGAGGGAGAGAAAAAACAGGAGGAGGTAAATTTCTCCAGGAACTGTAATATAAGAGAACTACATATGACTCCATAAATATGAACAGGAAACAATGGCATAAGAGGTATATCGTGAGGTTTCTTTTAGCTCAAGCTGTGTTGGATTGCTTGCTGAGACAGTTTAACCTGAGCTGCAGCTCACTTGTTCTTTGCAGCATATCTGAGTTACTTAAGCCTGGTAAAGTGTTTCCATTAATTCTACTAATTACTGAAGATATAGCTATCATTAGAAGATCTAATTTGGCTTTTTTTTCCTGTGAAATTCTGTGCTTCATGCCTGAGTATTTATTCTAGTAGCCCAAATGAAGGTGGATATTAAACACGCTCTCCTACATAAGGTTTCTGTGGCAAGTGTTGGTTACTGCTCTCCTGAGAGGGGTCCAAATTATTTTTGGTGCTGAATCTGAAGCAGTACTGCTGTTTTTGTAAGTTTAATAATTGAAGAGTAAGGAAAAAGTTTGTCATCCAGAGGAATGAATCCCCTTCTGTTTTTCCCAGTCACTGATCCTATTTTTTAACCTCAGGTGAATCCTAATCTTGAGAGCCAATTCCATTGCCAAAAATGCTTGTGCTTAGTATGCCAGCCAAACGCTGTGAGACCAGACTTGTGGTTGAACATCACAAGATCCTGATATCTCCATGCACGGTGAGGTGATATCAGTGTTTGGAAAATGTACTAGCATTTTCCTATGCTGACATATCTCTTGTACCATTTGCTTTACTCTGTGAGCCAGGTACATAGAATTCCTGGGTCGTGTCTCTAGCAGGGTTCTGCTGCTGACAGGATTGCTGCAACAAAGCTATTACTTTTCTACAAAAAAATCTTGTACTCTGTATTAGACTAATTAGGCTAGATTTGCTTTTGAGAAAATGTACTGAGTTTATTAGGTTTACACGGATCATCTCCTCATTTCTCTGTCCTTGTAAGTGATGCCCAAGTTCACAGTTGTCAAGATTTAGGAGCTGACCTATTTGCGAGTTTGAAAATGAGCGTTTAGGTTCTGAATTAGATAGGAGATGAGAGAGGCATCATAACCTTTGTTTGTTCAATGTAAAATGTTTAGTGTGTGGGATTGTGGCCCTTGCCTGAGGTTGCTAGGTGTGGCCAGCACTCATAATTTCTTTGTTTTAAGATTGCTTTTATATAATGCTATTTATAACGTGGGAGTCTTCACATTCCTATGACGTTTACAACTGCGAGGCTATAAGCACAACTGAGATACCTGTTGCTCAGCCTCTGAAATAACTAAGTGATACTGACATTGCTTTGCAGAAAAAGGACCTCTCTCATTAGAGTCCTGTGTAAATAGTTGTTATAGGAACAGAGACATACAGCTGCTCTGTCTGGGTTACTGAGATGTGATTCTTTCCCTGAGGGATCAGAGTAGGATGAGGGCTGTGCTGCAGCTTTCCCTGGAATGTCCTATGTGAAAACATGGCACCAGTCATAATAAGGAAAACAGACATGCCTGTGCAATTTATCCATGTTATGTGACTTTTTTCTGGATGTTGGACTTGCTGTTGGTTTTACACAGGACTTGAAGAAAAGTACTCTTTGCTACCAGTGCAGGGGGAGAGATTTTCTTTCGTCTGCTACAATAATTTGAGTAAAACTGTCTACAGATCTGCAGGCTCTTTGATAGCAGTCTGTGTCTGCCTTACATGAGAATGTGTGAACATTTATTTAGTGCTGTGTGATGTCCCTTTCTAGTCCAGTGCTGGATGAAAAATGGATTCCCAAAAGTGCATTAACTGAGCCTATAACCTGCAAAACGTATGAACTAAGATCTTTGATAATAAGTGAAAGCTGGAAAGATCAGCTGCTCGCCGTTGCCTTTTTCGGTGCTGCTTCAGGCTTGTCTTGCAACAGGCTTTTATTACACTGATTCTTGGCACCTTCTTTATAAGACCACGGCAATTTTACTGAATTACTTGGAAGCTCAGGCCAAATATTTTTACTTGTGACCCAAGCCTGAATTTGAGCTTGAGCCCATTGTGGTACAGAGCCTGTTAAATCACAGCACTTCTTGCTATTCCCTTTGCCAGCAGGCTGCTCTGTGAACAGCTGCTGTAGCATGAAAGGCCAAAGGGAAGTGCCTCAGTTTTGCCCTAGTCCTTTCACACCTCCACGTCACTGGAATATGCCCAAGTGCATGGTGAATGGCAAGCAGTCTTGCTAGTGCAGAACAGCCTGTACAGTTGACTTTAACTGAAACATGAATCACCTCAGTCCTGAATTATTTTAATCCAATCAGTCATCTCTGTTAAGGGGTGTAAAGAGACAGTAAAGCGGAGAGAATGGCTGCCAAATAGAGGATACAGGACACAAATAAAGCTGCTAAAATGAGATGAAATAAGAACGAATAATGATTTATTCCAAATGCCACTGGGGTTACTGTGTTGATGACTTCAGTGAGAGATTTAGGTGTAATGAGTTTTGTGGGCTTTTCCATGAATGATTTTGGTAATGTCAGTAGAAGGGAAGGGAAGGTGAGGTTGTTAGTTACACAGGGAGTACACACGAGTTTTCAAGTACTCCTAAACAAATTCTCCCTAATTAATATATGCTTTTCAAGCCTCTTGTAAGTAGACAAGCACTAACAGCTGCAGTTCTTTTTATAGACACAAACTAATCTCTAGTACATGTTAGAGCTGAAGGATAGAGAGAACAACATGCTGTGGATTCATAGGGCTTTTCTAGCCATCAATGTATTCTTTTAATACTCTCTAAAAGTGGAAGGGAATGCAGAAGAGCAGAGTACAGTCTTCAAGAATATTAATTCTGAATGGAATTGTAACAGGAGTGAAAAGTCTAGCTCTTAATGGCAAGTTGTACACAAATGCATCTTAGTAGCACAAGAAAAAGCATGTGTAAGCCTTGACCTATTTTCTTAATGTGTTCAGCCTTTTGCAGCCTGTATTAAATAGGCAACATTTGCTAGCATTTCTTCCCTTCTGCCACCTGGATTTCCTGGCAAAAGATGGGGACAATTATATGCTTTATGTTCTCTTATTTTATAAGCCAAAACAGTAAGAATGTAATTCTTTAGGCTTGATGAACATCTTTGAACAGGCTTCCTGTTTCAAGATGTTTTCCCCCGTCTTTTTCCTTATTGCTAGTATATATATTGTCAGTTTAACATTGTTTTCTGCATGGAAACAATACCCAGTTGTGGTAGGTGAAGGGAGAAACTGCACTACTCCTTTTTCCATTTCTAATGCCTATGATTTATGTAGAAACACCCAAGACTTTCAACATTTACCTGTCTGAAATAGCCACTTGTTTGTGATCTGATATTTAGCTGCCTCAGAAGTCATTATCACCTCCTTTTTTAATTCAGTTCAAAGTAAGTTTCAAACATTTGGCTGTAATCAATGACCCATGCCTTCTGGAACTGACTGAACTTTTTTGCCTTCAAAGGAATAAGTTGGTTACATTTGTATAGTCCTATGGCTTTCTCTGATATGACATAAGAACTGATTTACTTAGGGCAAAATGACCTGCGTGGTTTCCTCTATTCCTTCAACCAAAGGGAGAACTATTGAGGCACCTTTTGTTAAGAACTGCTTCAATAGCTCTCTTTACCCTATGTTTTTAGACTTAAAAGGGATATATCCCCACTGTGGACTGACTATACCTTATCATTCTTGTGGTGTAAACTTCTACAGATTGTAAATTAATTCTATCTACTTACTTTTGTACTCCAGAAGGAACACCAGGGAAAAGCAGATGACTTCTCATCTTCTAGAATCTCAGAAATAAAAAAATGTCTGAGACCTCAAATTAGTGCTCAAGTGCATTACCTTTCAATTGCTTTGTACAAGAAAATGAGGGAACTTTCTAATTACTAAGAGAAAGGAGCATTGAGTGTTTTCATTTGCTTGAGGAACTTCAATAAGGAAAGCATCTCCAGAAAGTAATTTAAGGTTTTCCCCAAATAGCTTTGAAGTTACTCCACAGTAATTGGACAAAGGCTGGATCTCATACTTCGCTTTTCTCTCAAATTAATCAAAAGAGGCTTGTAGGTAAGATCCATGTAACAGTCTAATATGCCTGAGAAGAGTAAAATCCAAGTGAGAGAAATAATTTCTTTGAGCCACAAAAAGACGAAATAATAAAATTGCAGTGTGACTCAGATCAGAAGTGAAGCACTGGAGTCAGTTGGGAAACTGAACAGGTTACTCCCTTAGATTTTATTCTTGCTTGTCTTGTGCTGTGTTTCAGAGCAAGGTGGGAGAGTCTTCTGGATTCAGCTGGTTCATGGTTCCTCCAGAGGTATTGGTAAGGGTGATATTCTGGGCTTTTGCCATTCAGCTGTTGGAGCTCTTTTTCTGCTTGTGGCTTTTCTTCTTTGGGTACAGGAAACCAGTGCTGTATCCAGCAGGCAGCTCTACTCCTTGTATGTTGCTGCATGTTATTATAATGCTGGGTATCTGAGATGTGGATGTTCTATGGCGAGGCTCTCCTTTTAGTCCGATGCCACTCGGGCTCTCACTTCTCTGAAGAATGCAAGGTTTTAAAAGAAATGGAAAACACAAACATCTACAAAGGATATCAGGCTGCATCATCTATGAAAATGTGACGTATTTAGATTGGTGCTTTGCTAGTATCTGCTACTACCTTAAAGCCAAACTCAAAAGATGGAGGAAGAAGTAGATGTGAATATTTTTGGAATGCTTTATGAGTATTGTGGGGGGAGGAGAGGAAGTATAAACAAGATAGTGTCTTTGTGTTAGTATATTAATTCAGAATCTAGTTCACTTTGAAGGACCAGGCTAATGACAGCACGTTCCACTGTGGGAGGAAGAAAAAGTACTGAGAATGTACTCAGTGTAAGAGAGAAATAATGTTAAGAGTCCCTCCATTAAAAGAAAACTACATAGGTGACAAAGCAGCTGTTTTGGTTCACTAAGATGAGGTGGTGTGAAACAGATAAAAAGATTAATATTTTGAAGGGGGGGCAAACTAGAGAATGGAGTCAAACAGGAAAGGATTAATTTGTGTAACAATAGCAGTGCTATCCATCCGTAGCATGGGACCACAAAAGAGACTGTTAAGATAAGGCTAATAATAGCTTATAAGGAATACTACTATCAATAAAAATTGCCTGTTTGTTACATTTTTATTATTACTGCTAAGATAAAACTTTTTTTCCTCCTATCAGCTCTTTTATTTCACTGATTTAGGGCAAGTTGACTCATTTGAGGAATATATTTAAAAAAAAAATAATAATAAATATCAGTATGCCATAGCTTTGTTAAACGGAAGTAGGAGAGACACTATGCCCACAACTTACTGAATAAGTGACATGATATGTTTCAGAAACTTACCTGAATTTCCTCCACACTGCATTTTTCAGATGTTTTGCACTACTCAAAACAGAGAACAATAAATAGTCAACAGTGTCACTTTGCACAGAAGTACTTGCTACAAGATTGACTGTCTCGAAAGGACAGCTATCAAATAGCTATTTCCACTTGCTGTATACATTGATTTTTGTTATCTTTATTTGAACAATGTTTCCACTCACCCCAAAGCAAATTATGGGCAGACAACCTAGTGAATTCAACTTAAGTTTTCTTAAGAAGCAGAGCTTAAGGAGAACCTGTAGCACATATATTCTCTATCAATTTCTGCTCAGCTTCAGGTAGATCAGATAGTGATCAGATAGATCACTATCTACCTTTTGAGGCAATATTTTCTGTATTCTAGTGGGAGTCTCATGTGATTTTTTTTTTTTTTTTTTACATCTCAGCAAAAACTTAATTTGTGCTCAGGGACTGAGATTGTCATTAGGCTTTGTTGATTTATCTTAACCCATGCCAAATATTAAAGTTGTTCTTACAGTAGATGTAGCAGAATGCTCTGTGACATTAATTTCCACCATGGGTATTTCATCTGTGTTTACAACTGTCTGGAAAATAAACGAAGGTGAAAAAGACAATGTATAGGTATGTTACCATGGATGTGAAACACAAAGAGTGGGGAAAAAGAAAAAGGGAACAGAGGAGGAATGCAGTAATAAACTAAATGTAACTTTGTACTACAGAACATAAAGTAATTTAACAAAGACAGACTAGTTTTCTATCTCTCATCGTACAAGCTTATTTGATAACAAATGGTGACACGACAGAAAGATGAGTCAAGTAATTTGTGCAACATGGGGAAATAAAAATATTACAGATTGTACACTTAAAGACAAACACAGGGTAACACATCATGCATATGCTATGTTCAATATAACAGCTCCTCGCCAGAAATACAACAAAGACAGCTGAATGATGAATTAGAGCTGTAAATAAAAAGCTGATGACCTTTTACAGCCTCAAGGACGTTACTTACAGCACTAACTTACAGGTTATTCTCATCTTCTAGGCCAGATTCTTTATGATTAATTATGATAAAATGAGCATTGTTGACCTACTTGTTGCCTAAGAATTCTGTTACTGTGCAATGTATTACCTTTCCAAAAATCCCAGAATCGTGGCTTTTCACTTCAGGTTTGCCTCCTAGGTCGCTGGTTTGGGTAGTATCTTTGCCCATTTCATAGGAAACCTGGCTGCTAGCAGGTCTGGAGGTCATACTGGTGATATCAGTTTCTGTATCGGTACAGCCCTAAAATGAATACAGCAAAAGCAATAGCATGATCTTAGATTTCTGACCAAGTAGTATGATACCTAAACAGATTTTATGAGTCAGTCACCAAGTGAAAGTTATTTCAGAAAAGCTATGCCACGTACAACTCCCTGCACTGTTTTCCTTTAAAAAGTCCAAAAACCTTATTAAATCTCTTCAGTCAACTTCTTGTTTTCTTGTTTGTTTATTTTGGTAGGGTTTACTTCAAAATTTCTAACAAAATGGTGTTCTGTTATGTACTATGGAAATTTTTCTAATGCACTTGGTTAGTTTAGAAGCACTTCTTCTCATGAAGGATTCCTGATTTTATGAAGATTTAATTCAATGAATGGAAAAACAAACAAACAAAAAAAAAAAAAGCAGGATTTTGCATGAGTTGAATGTTCTTTCCTGCACTACCTTCTTTTCCTGACTCTGTTGGCCTTTTCACTGAGTTTTGATTGGACTGAGAAGTGAAAAGAACATAGAAATTGAAATGTCATTATTAAGAACAAATGTCTGAATTCAGAATGTGACTGCATTAGATATGATGTTTAGTCTGACTATGAAAAAATAATCACTGAGAAGATCACTGCCATTTCATATATTTGGAGATTGTATTTAAAACAATTTCAAAGTTACTAATGTAACTGTGTAGTAAGGGAGAGCCTAGGACACCAAATATTTGCCTATATCCAGCTGCTGTGCAATGCATTTGGCTTTACCTGGAACGGTAGCAGAACGATGTTGAGGTCTGATGTGACAAGGATTCAGAAATGCATTTGTTGATTTACTTAAGTCTGATGGTTAATGCTTCCAAATAGACCCTGCTTCACCTTAAGAAACCATTGTTTCCTTAAAATTTTGGTTTCACTAAATTTTTTAGTGACTAACAGATTAGTTGTACTGATAGACTATTGGCTGAAAGTGAGTCAGCGGTGTGGCCAAGAAGGCCAGTGGCATCCTGGCTTGTATCAAGAATGGTATGGTGAGCAGGACTAGAAAAGTAATCCTGCCTCTGTACTTGGCATTGGTGAGGCCTCAACTCATACTATGTTGAGTTTTGGGCACCTTGGTAAAGAAAGGGCATCAAGGGCAACAAAGCTTGTGAAGGGCTTGGAGAATATGTCCTATGAGGGGAGTCTGAAGGAGCTGGGGCTGTTTGGAAACCTTATTGCTCTCTTCCAGTATCTGAAGGGTGTGTACAGTGAGAGCGAGGTTGGTCTCTTCTCACTGGCGACACACAGGACAAGGGGAGATGGCCTCAAGTTGTGCCAGGGTAAGTTTAGCTTGGATATCAGGAAAAACTTCTTTACAGAAAGGGATATTAAGCACTGGCTTCCCAGGGAGGTAGTTGAGTCACCATCCCTGTATATGTTTAAAAACCATTTGGATGTGGTGCTCAGGGATATGATTTAGTTACGGATTGTTAGTTACGTAGTATGATTAAGTTGCAGTTAGACTTGATGATCTTTAAGGTCTTCTCCAACCAAGCAATTGTACGATTTTGATTCTATGATTGTTTTTCTATGTCCAGACTCAAAATCTGTGGTCAAACAAGTTCCATCCTAGAAGAATGGTGAGGTTTTCTAGGATTCTCTTACTCTAAGCTTCCCTTGCCTTCTGAAATGCCTGTTGCCCAGTGTCTTCATTCCTCCTTCAGTGTAAAAAATGGACAAGAACATAACATGCTACAGTTTGCTCTTACATGTTGGTCGTCTTTTATTTTACTTCTTCCCTTTCTTTTTCTGAAGTTCTTATAATAACAGCATAAAGTGTTTCATCTAAAGCACTTATCACTTTGGAGGACTCTATGAAAGTCAATTACTCTGCAGTTAAAAACGTGTATGAGAAGTGTCTTCCTTACCGATTCACTGTCAGAGATGGAAGATAATCGCCTTTTTCCTGTCTGCAGCCCACTTGTCTCAGAAGACTGGCTGGTTATGGTGGTTCGTCTGGAGGAGGGATAACTGCTGTAGGATCGGGATTCTTTAGGAGAAACTCTCAACAGGGATCCAAGGCAGGGAACATATGTCGCAATGGCTGTTCTAATGGACAGGAGGTAGAACAAGTCAGATTTTTTAATGTTAGAATAAAAATTCAGTCATCATACACAGTGCATTTATTCAGAGAGATACACTAATGCTGCATGGACTGGAAAATTACTGGTACAATAAAGGGTTTTCCAGATATCCAGTGTGTCATAAACAATCACCCTACAGTATCACTTATTAACAGTGGTCCATAGAATTCAAATGCTTTACTTGGCAGGGGCGAGGGCATTAAAGAATAACTCTTTGAGCTGAAGGGACCTATTAAAATATTTTATCTGCTTTCAGCTTAATCAGGGCAAAAATAAAATTCTGTTCTTTCAACTGAACCTTGCAGAAGTACCACGTAATAAATTGTTTTAATCTTCCCCTAAGCAGCTATTCTGGCCTCCTTTAGCACATCTGTCTGCCTGCTATCTGCAGGGTAGTACAAAAGGCAGCTATATTACAGAATTCTTTTTCTCATGTGCAGCATAAGGAAACTCCTTTGCATGGCTTTTTTCTCCCTCCCAGTCATCCCACGTAGAAGTCCATGCCCACACTTCTCTGTCAAATTATCTTGCAGGTCTGTGTAAAGAATGAAACAGTGTATGTATCCATCAGATTCCATGGCCTACATCTGAACTTGGTATGGTCATGAGTGTAAATGTTACAGCTCAGAAGAAATACTATCTGAAATAAGGAAGCATAAAGAAGGGTGAGGAAGATGCACAAAATAGGGAAGGAGTAACTTGACTTACTGGATTGCATTCCTCAGTGGCCTGGTTAACTTAACTGCTATTTCTAATGCTGACAGATGTCTGGATCTCCCTTGAAGATAGTTAAATTTACAATGATTTCCTCTGAGCTAGGAAGGTCTCTATCTTTTATCATGTGATCTGTAAGTACAGATCAGCATTCCATAAACATCTCCAGCTCCCATCTGCACAGTAAACTGTTCCAAGTACAAATTCTACTGACATTTATACGGCACTGAGAAGTTTGCTTGGAGAGGAGAAGGTTGTCTTGCAAAGGTAAAATTAACAGGTGAATGAGAGATTGGTTACTAGTCCCTTAACTGATGAAGCTATTGCCTGATATTCTCTGCTACGTTAAATTTATTTTACAAGAGTGAACTTACCTATATTTAGGGTGAGTGATGGCATAAATTATGGGGTTATGGATGGCAGAAGCTTTGGCAATCACAGCTGGTATTGAATTCATGAAGGGTGTTAGAACATGAGAATACCTAGAGTAATACAAATACATAATCTATTTAGTGTATATACAGTACATATTTAGTACTGAGTTCTCAAAAGTCTCAGCAGTTATAAGCTGACAATACAGTGCGTTGTTATTGCTCCACAGAATGTAAAAAGGGGATGTTCTCCCCTTTTTTTGTGAGAGGGACAAGTTTTACATCCTTTTCCTGCAAAGATGTGCACCAGCCTAATTGCATTTCTGGGAAACACAATTTTCGTGATGCTTCTCTTGCAGTACTGCTATGATTCAGTGGTAACCCCTGTGCTATTTACCCTAGAGACAAAGTCTGCCTCCAGTAAATGAATGCGTGTTCATCAGAGTATCTGTTTCAAACTCAGCAGATGTACTCGCTAAATAACCCACCACTAAATATGTCACTAAATGAGTGTGCAGAGTGAAGCATTATAGGAAAGATATGTAATCAATTCTGCTTTTCAAACTTTCTGCCTGATCTGAACTAAAATCAGGAGGGAACGAGTGTTCTCATGACATAAACTTCACTTGTGTTATTGTGGCTGTGCGTATATACAGGTTTTGTGCCTTTAGAGGATACAGAAATCATGACTGATATCTGCCATGTTTCTTTCAGCCATTTTATCTGAAGATACTTTGAAGTAGCCCATAGAGTCTTGTCAGAAGAAGGTCAGTACAACTACTCAGACGAAAATAACACGTTCTGTAGGCAACTTCTATCAGACAGATTCTCCATGGGTCTGATTAGGAGCTAAGAAGAACTCGGATTGGTAGAAAGGGTTAAGTAAAATGACTAATTAGTCTAAGTTAGCATCCTTTCTTTATGACACCTCTATTTTCTGGGACAGCAGTTTAACCTCCATCTTTAACTGACCTATTTAGCATTGTGTTCCTGCTTCTTTCCTGATATACTCAGGGAATTTCTTA